GCATTAAATCGCACCCCCGCCCCACCCCTTTGCTCGCCCCGAGGCTGGAGAGAAAAACGAGCCTCGCTTTCATCCAGTGGCGCGAGTACAATTGCGGATTTCATTTTTTTATGCAAATTGCTCCATCTTGGTGGGTGGGCGAGGGAGGGGGTGCGGCTGTTGTTAAGGGAGGAATTTCAGCAAGGGTCGGGCAGGTAATCGCCGGCCAGGCAGGGGTCGCTAATGTCATAATTGGCCAAAGTGTTATTGCTGCGGCGAATAAACTCGGGGATTAATTTGGAATCGAAACTAATTAAGAATTAAGGCGCTCATTAAATTTTAATGATAAAAAAGTGCTCGCGCGTTTAATGCGACCGCGAAAGGACGTTTCTTTGCGCGCGAAAAACAAAGGGCAGCTGCGACCAGAACAAGGGCTTTGTTTATTCATCTCGCGTGGGAAAAGCGAAGAGTTTCTTTGTCCCTCGAGTGCTTCTATATTTTGTTTCTCTTTGAATGAATCGGCCGAGAATTATTCACGCTCGCCCCATGTAAATAAACAATTGCTAATTGCTGCTTTCATTTGCGACCAGAGCGAGTATTGCATCGTTATGAATAATATGCTTCTTGCTTCAGTTTCAAACTTCTTAATTCATTAAAAATAATCAATGCAATTTGCATTCCTTTGATCGCAATTCAAACTTTTAAAGGAAAACTTCATAATATGAAAAAGATAATGATTTAAGATAGAATAAATAATAATAAAATCCAACAATTCGTTGCAATCAAAAAAGTTCTATAAAGTTCTATGATTAAAAAAAGGTAGAAAAAAACTTCAAAATAGGAAGGAATGAGTTGGAGATGTTTGCATTAATCTTACTTTTGTTCTTCTAACTTCACAAGAAATGATTTGTGTTTTTATTTAAAGAAAACTTTCAAACATTGTTTTTGCTTCAACTGTTCACTATTAATCATTTTCTGTTTGATTATGTTTGCTGCTGATATTTTGTGTATTAAATAAAATAAGTTTTTGCTTTTCGATCTTAACGTTTGATAAGCTGCAGGTAAAGACTTGTTTACGCCCAAGTTTGGCTTTGCAGTTGAAACTTTGCTCATAATTGACTGCGTACGCTTGATTAATCTTGAATGTTGGAAATTAGTTCCAAAGTTGCGCCCCTGATTAATAAATGCGCCGCGAGTCTAATGCTTAAGCAGACGCGCAATTAATTCGCCGCTATTAATAATTTCAGTCTTCATTAACAAAGACTGAGTTTTGCACTCTGGAACTCTAGTTTAATGAATATGGCCCTCTTTTATGTATTGCATTGGTTGAATGACAAATAAAAGTTTCAATGAATTATGATTAATAATAATTTACAATAAATAAGTTAATTGGTAAGTAAATTAATAAACAAATATTTTTTAATACATCTAATATAATCATAGAATTTGTATCAAATTTGTTCAGCTAGTAGTAGTGACAGTTTGTGCCGTTCATATACCTATTATGGACCTTATTAAAAATACAAATCTTTTATTTCAATCATTCAGTAGTTTTTAATTACCTACAAGAGATTAGCAATATCCATTAAATTATAATCAAAAGAATTTTCACACAAAAGGAAAGAAAAGAGAGGATCAAGTTCTGGGCATTGACAGCAATTGAGTGGCAAAGGTCGTGCCGATCTGATAGGCAGCGCCATTTATCAAAGCGGTTTTTTGCAGCTGCTTCGGCCGATAATAATCCACACCTCGTCGTCGGCGACAAAAGAGAAAGAAAAGAGGCGCGCGCGTGTCAAAACAAGCTGCTCAATTCCGCCCTCGGCTCCTTTTTTCCGCCGCCGTCGCAATAATGATATTCAAATCCAGCCTGACTTATTCCGATATTGAAAAATTCCCACCGCCGGAGTAATTTGAAACCCTTTGCTGGAAAAATCATTCACAATTTACAAGACCGCGTCGCTCTGTAAATAGATTAAAGAGACATTAGCGGTGAAATATGACGCGTCTTTTGACAAAATATTAATTCTCGACCCGCCCGAAACCGACCCCGGCACGAAAGGGGTGCGTCCCACCCCTCAAGGAAGGCGCCGCTTCAAATTCAATAACGAGAATCGTCGATTGATTTGCCTGAGAAAACAATTTCCGCTTCTCTCTCTCGGCATCAAAAACACGCGTCTTAATTCAATTTCCGCGTTTTCTCAAAAAGCACTCAATTGTTTTTCCAGTCCAGCCCTCTCATTTGTGGAGTCAAAACAAACACTTTCAGCTTAATTTAATTAATTTCTGCTAAATTAACGAAGAATAGAAAAAGAGGAGAAATTTCAGCTAAGCAAGGAATTTATAAAATTAAAATCGCCTCGTCGGACAAAAGCAGAGAAAAAGTTTCTTGCGAGGGTGTTCTTTTCACACCCCATTCACCTGAAGTCTCCATATGCTGCAGTAGAACGAACTAAAATAACTTGAGCCGCCCTAACACGAGAAATAACACCCTTTTTTGCGCCGTAAGTCAAAACTGCGCCGGCGAGCAGCTTCTCTTCCCCTTTTTTGTTCCAACTTCTTTCGGTGCTCAATTTGACGCGTTTGAATTATTGCGGCGCCACAAAACACGAAAGGAAAACCTCTGAATTTAGATAATTACACTTGATAAGAATCAGTGTCTAATATAAATTAAACTGAGTCTATTATTTATGCAGGAGAGAATGACCTAAAAATGTCCTCATTTTTGTCATGTTTTTGCATGTTTTGAATAAAATCTTACACGCGGTTTTTTCACACGAAAAGTGTTTCAGAAACATCAGTGGAGCTTGTAGCGGTTTTTGAAATTTATTTGCATTCTTCAGCGCCGCTTTTGTTCTCTCGACACCCACGCTTGTCCAAGTGGCGAACCAACCTTTTGACCGCGGCTGAGTAGAAACGCATTTCTTGAATGGGGTGTGCATTTGCCCGATTTCAAGGGTGACCAACCCCATTCGGCGACGATTCCTGTCACGCGCCGGGCGGGAATAAATTTTGAAAAGAAGGATTTGAATTTAAAGTGAGAAGCGCTCCTTTGTGCATAGTTTTTGGGCCGGAGAAAAAGCAGCCCATTGTGTCGCGCCGGGATTATTGCGGGGCCAAGATTAATCGGCTCAAAGTTTTTTCAGCCTTTGTCTCGCGCGAGATGATCAGTGGCCTTTCTCATCGCGCGCCCATTAAATTATCATCTCCAGTCGATGAAGAGAAAATGCTTGGAAGTGAGACCGTGTTTTTGCTAATTAAAGATCGGCGACGATTTCAAAAAGAAACTCTCGCCAGTTCTTTTCCCTTCTTTTTTCACAGAGGAAAATGGCTTTTAATTAGGTAATGGAGCAGCAGATAATCGATGCCCAGGACTGTAATTATGGCAACACGACTTCATCAGCTAAAACACTCCATGAACGTGCAATTTTGATCGCAATCTATTCAGGCCGTGACTCGCCGTTGTTGGAGTAATTAATTGAAATTACTTTTATATTGGGAAATAGCCAAATTAACTGAAATCGTTGCCAAAATATTTTCTTTTAAATGTAATTGTTAAAACAATTTAATTAAAGCAAAACAAAATCACGTTTTTGTCCTCAAATTTCAAATAATTATACAGTTGCTGCAAATAATATTGAAGTACAAATTAAAAACAGAGCAACATTCAATTATAAGAGCAGAGAAAATAAAAAAAGGCCTTTTGAATGTAATTACCGAGTTGCATATGAAGAGAAATGATTTGCATGCAAACGTGATCCGAGTGAATTTATGCAGGTGGGTGGATTGAACGTGCAAGCGCATGTCGTTGTGTTTGCTGATTGAGATCGCACAAGCTTTGAATTCGCTGCGTACTGGAGGCTTTGGAATGAACCGTTTGAATAAAGATCAGCGCTGATTAATCTGTGCGTGAAATGGAACGCCATTAAATCTGTTTGAGGCAGAAGCAATTAATTTTGCATCATTTATTGAAATTCACTGAACTCATATTATAAGAAATCTTTACACCAAAGAAATTTAATGTCATTTTTCCGATCGAATATTTAATTTACTTTGTTTTAATACAAATTTTAGGGAAGGTATTGATTTCTTTAATTACCAAAAAACAACAAGAAAAATAAAAAAAGAAACTCTACAAATTTGCAGTTAAATAAATATGATGAATATAGAGTCACAAAATGAACAAGAAGAAATTTTGCTTCTGCTTTGAATAAACAAGGAAAACCGGCAGCGCGATATTGAGTTTCCAATTACCCTAATCGAATGAAATTTGATTCCTTCATTTGGTTCAATTTTGGCGACACCGAGGACAAAACATTTGGCAGTGAAAGGCGGCGTGAAAGAGTCATTCACGCTTGGAATCAAAATTGCACAGGCCCAGAGTTAATTTGGCACCAAATCGAATCATGACCGGCGCACAGATGTGATTTAATCAAATTATTTTGGACATCGGGTCCGTCTGCGTTGTTTTCTTTCCCGGGTTGATTCCATTAAAAAAGGCTTTTCTTTCATTCGGGTCCAGATGCTTATCGCCCCTGCTAATGGATTTGTCACATAATCCCACTTTCGTCGGTCCAAACATTCAACGCGAGAGGTCTTAAAAAGTAATTAATTCCACGCAAAGAGGGAAAAAAGAGGCAAAAATGAAATTGCCTCTTTTGTGCTTTTCATCTCTTCATTCAAACGCCTCTGTTTTTATTTCTGCTGGCAGCCCCAAAGTGATTCAATTATGAGCCGCGCTCGTAATGAAAAATTTCTCACTGCTCTTTTTTTGTTTTCTTTTCGCTGCCAGGGGGTTGCAAACATTTGCAGGAGAAAAGGAATGGAAAAATCCTCAACAGCAAATCATCCTCGCATTTCAAAAGACAAGTTTTGTCTAAAAATTGCAATCGAAACCTGCACTTTATAATGAAAAGTGGAAGTTTTTGTCTAAATAACAACGCACATGATTTGTTTGGGGGAAAATGAATCACCAAAATGAATTAGGGGAAATTGAAGGGATGAAAAGAAAGGGTGGTTCTTACCTTGGAGGGCGAGCAGGCCGAGGAGGACGAAGGTCGCGCGCATTCCGACTTTTTCGGTTCTCACTTGGAGCGACGCATGGCCGGGGCGAGGGCGCGTGTGTTTCGCTCGGGGGTCGCGGCCAGACTGACTTGGGTGCTCGCTCGGCTGCCCTCCCCGCCCCCTCTCCTCCAGCCCCTGCCCCAGCCTCCGCCGCCGCCGCATGATGAATTGCCTGCAAAAGTCCAACTTGTTTATCGCGGCCAATTAGGCGCTGACTTTATTTGTTTCGCTTTTGACACTTCGATGGATCGACCGACTTTTCCCCGTGAATTCGCACTTTTCCTATTTTTCCGACACTAATGCACGTTTGATTGTTTTTGTGCCGCAGCGTTTCTTCCATTTTTCATCCAACATTTCCAATTTATCCCTAATCATAGTATGGAATATACAAGATATATACCCAAAATAATGTAAATTTCAGGTGAAAATTGGTCCTAGTGAATTAAAGGAGGAGACCTTGGATCTAATCAAAGAGAGTGCCGAATAAATTTTGCAACAAGGCTTGGATTTGGCGGCTTCGTTTTGTACCTCTTTGATCATTATTCGCTCCCTTTTAAAGTGGGTCGTCGTGCTCTGAATGCGGCGTTTAATTTTTCATTTGTCAATTTGGCCTCAGGAGGGCAATGAGGGAAACAAACGGCCCCGAAAGTCTAAGGGTTGACGAATCGTTCATCCCTTTCAACCCCCGAGAGAGACAAACGGATCTTTTTTGGCGCAACATCATCTTTTTCAGACCTAAGCTTTTTTAATATAAAGAAAATATATTTTTGGCGTCTTTAATCGTCTGAACAATTTTCTGGTATTTTGATTCAATTTTGAATGCAACGAAATTTCCTTCAAACAAAATTCCATTTTTCCTCATAAGATTAATTTCTGGCTGTGAATTAAGGGCAGAAATCTTGCTTTCCATTTATTATATTGAATATAATTTTAAAACAGAAGAACCCAAAAAGTCTTGACTCCACTTGCCGCACATTCAAAACTTGTGCGTATTTTTATTTATAATTCAAACCTCTTTATTTTCCTCTCTTTTGAAAATCCCTCCGCAGTACTTGAAATTGCTCTTGTCTTTTTAGTGAGAGAAAAGGTAAATAATTAGCCCTTGCATGCAAAAATGCATTATTTCCCTTCATTTAAAATGCGCGCAGGGTGAAAAAGGGCGCGGGCTTAATTGGTGTGCACGTCGGTTCGAACGGAGAACAAGAGGCGAAATGCAGCAGCACTGGAGGAAAACCACTCTCAATTAGACCTGCAGGAATTGCGCTTTGTCCGGCCGCGCCAATTTCATTCTGAGCGATGAAAGAAATTTCATCCCCGTTTTATTTCAATTAACAACCAGAGCACTTCATCCCTTTACAAAACCTGGATGCTTTCAAATGATTAAAATTTTTCATATTTGCCCGGAATATAAAATCTGTTAAAGATAATTTTGTTAGTGCTTTAAATATTAGAAAGATTAAACTTTAGAAATTTGTAATTCCGCTAAAATAAGCATATTTTATCAACTCCTGAAATAATTAGTGCCATAATTTTTTGAGCCAATTTTCTACTTTTCCATTTTGCTTTAGGTTTTGGGTTTTGGTTTTCGGCACACGTGCTGTGCAGAAATTTGGCGCTTGCGGTTTTTGGGGGTGGCGCAAAAGCCATCGGGCGCAGAAGCAATAAAATTTTATTACGAGGGCAATAAATATTTACAGGTCGTTTATCACTCTCGATATTGAAATGGATAAGGAATTGCGTTCGGCCCCAGAACAAAACGAATTTATGTTGCAGATCAATAAGTCACGCGCGCTAAGTGTGAGTCTTGGAGAGAGATGATGAGAGGGAGGAAAAAACAGCCCTTTCAAGAGAGGGAAGAAGCAGCTGGTGGCGAAAAATGGGCCCGACGCTTGTTTTATTTCAATGCGCGCTCCCAAATCGATCCGCCCATGCAAAACCCGCGCCGCATTTTAATTTGGCCACTTTTCAATTTCAACAGATCGAACGTCGCAACCCCGTCTGCATTCTAATTTTTTAGCCCAAAAACAGATCAAGAATATTACATTTATAACATTTTTTACTTAATTTTATTTGATCCAATTTATAAATAAAAATTTAAGAAGGAAAAAGTATCTTTTTCTAATAACGATTTTGTTCTCCTTTTCACATCTTTTGTTCTCTTTTCCTTTCGCTCGGACGGAGAATTCGTTCGGAGACGCGTTAATCCCGGCCGACGATGGATTAGCACCTGCGCAATTCCTGCAGGGACACTTTCTCTCTGTATCGCCGTAATCTGATTGAAGCGGCCTTTCGCTGCGAGCCAGACAATGCAGCCCTCGGAAACAAAGCCCGAAACTGGACAGCCAACTTTTATTTCGAAAAGAGGAATTTTCCGCAGCGCCGACTTTCCCGCGGGACGCCCAAAGTACGTGTTTAGCTTTTGTACATTTTTCTTCTCTGCCCCGACTGCACCAAAAATTTGACGTTTCTCTTTTGCTCTTGCGGCGGCACGCATCGGGAATCTTTATTTTTATTGACAAGTTTCTCCCTCTTCATTTCCTTTGCTCGATTGATTTTGAAATCTTCCTGAAAGGGATGGAAATATTTAAGCAGAAAATTGAGCATCTAATTTTTTTTTTTAAACACAGCAGGAAAATCAAATTTTGGAAAATAAATATATTATTTGGACATATTTTACATGAAGACGAATTTAGAGGTAACAATAATGTTGGGGCGGAAATAAGATAAACACACCTGTGAAAGCCCGACCAGGTTTGCAGACTCGAGGTTCGCGCCAAATTAGCCACCGAGCGGCCTTTGTGAGCGCGGCTAATTAATATGCATGCAGCCAATTGCGGCCAAATTGGATCAGCGCGAGGCCTAATTGCGGATATTTCGCATTCTGCACTCTCTGCGTGGAAGCAAATTGCTTTGCACTTAATGGAACAAACTGCTTCTTGCCCTGAAACAAACACATTCTCTGCGTTAATAAGCAGGGCTAATGAACAAATTAAGACTGGTCGTGCTTTTATGTAAAATCTCGCTCATTTGCCTTTTTTTATTTTTCAATAATTCAGACTGCTTGTTTTTGGTTATAAAACTTTACAACCAAAATTTTGAATAGAAAATCTCTGAAATAAAAGAGCATGTAAAAATGTTCCAAAAATTTGTTTGACCCTCTTCTTATCTAATCAAGAAATATATTGATCAAAGTGCTCTTCGTATATATTAATTAAGTTTAATTAAGTTTCACTTGAATTGGAGAATGGTGATGGGAAAATAGGTGATCGCATTTTTCAGCTATTTTAAGTGACCTCAAATTTACTAATAACAATTACCAATAACTAATTACAAAATTTTAAATTTACAATTTAGTACTTGCTAAAATCATGTCGCTGAATAAAAAATAATCCATTTTTCACCTACTTAAATACATGACAACGTTTCTTTTTCCTCAAATTTCAAATTTTCATATTTTTTACATTATTTCTGTTTTAAAATAACACCTAGAGTCACTTTTTCTACAAAAATAACCTATTTAAAACAATTTCATTTAAAGATATTAAAAAGTATATTTTTCATGATAAAAATACTCACTTATTTCTCACATACTTTGATTTTTTCACCTAAAATAGCCTAATTATCAACTAAAAAAATCATCTACATCCCTCGCATCCGCAGTTCTAAAGCAGATTGAAGTTTATTCATATTCGAATATGCTTCGGTGGATTTGCACGGTGCGGATGGAAATATGATGTAGTCTTGGCGGATTTTGGCGCGGACGGGGAGCACAAGTGTTTGTCAACAATGGGAAATGCGGCTCCATCCGCGCACACAATGCACTCAAGGTACAATGGCAGGGGTGCGCATTACGGTTGTTTGGTCGGTGCCGCCGTCGTCATCACATTCGCGGCCATGAATAATTGATCAGCCGAATCTGCTCTTGTTTGCCTCCGCTTTTACGCCAAACTCGATCCCCAACGGAATTTCCTGTTTGTATTTTAAAAAAATTTCATATTTGTCAAAAGATTGATTTTGGCAAAATGGAGTGAAAAGTCAAAAAGGGTTGAATGATTTTTACCAAAGGGCAAAGAGGTGATTGATTGTTGTTGCTGAAACGGCTTTTATGAGTCGCATTCCCAACGCCCAACCCTTTGCTCTGACGGAACGTGCGACACACTAATGGGACGTTCCAGTCACAAAACAAAGCCAAAATAATCGCATGTAAAAAACAAAATAAATCTTGTTGACAAATGAATTTCGTCGCTTTTAATTCAAAGCACTGATCTCTCTAAATAATCCTATTTTTATATTGAAATGATAAAAATAGAGCTGTGACCTTTGCAATTATTTGACCTTTAGAGAAAGTTCCAATACGACACCTTGTGGGATTTGAGGACTTTATCGAAATGGTCTCGCGGCAATAAGCGATGTTTGTGTCCGGCGGCGGCGAAAACAAAACAGCCTCTCTCACACAATTACACCACTTTGTCATTACACGCGTTTGAATTTGCTTAATTGGCAATCGCAATCACTCTGAGCAGAATTTACGTCGACGGGCGATGCATCACAGCCGACGGCTAATGCAACACCCGACGCAACACAGACCGCAGATAATAAAACTGAAACACACTTTTGTCCATCGAAAAAGCCAAACCACTTTTTTCACGTCGGTTAAAAGTGATGAATGATTTATGAACCCTTGAAAAAAGCTGTTTAACATTTCATGCACGAACTTCCACTCTAAACTTTTTTTAATTCCAAAAGTTTTTGAATTTCATATAAATGGAAATTTTTCATGTTGAGCAACTCAACAGGTTTATAAATGTACTGTTGAAATATGCAAATGCATGGCAATGAGCAACAGATTCATATTTAATTTATTTAGTTAAAAAATATTTCAAAATTTCTTGAAAAATTTGTTAGTGAAAAACATAGAAACCGGTCCAGTACCGATTTCTTTTGAAAAATGAGAACAATTGTTATCACTTTTTGCTCTGAACGAAAAAGCAAGCGAAGAAAAGAAAAGCTCGTGTGTCTGATAAAAAAAAACCTGCCGGCGCGAGTTGTTCTTTTCCGCTTGCTGACCTACTCGCGGCAAATCTCTCTCGCGAT